TTCATTATCTCAATGATCAACATTGAGTAATGTTGTTACTTCTTAGAATTAGTGTACAAATTATAACTTGTTTATGAGAAATCAAGTCCATTTACTGACATTTCTCATCCCTGAAATAAATTAGCTGGGAATTCACGGAATCAAGAAATATAACTAACAAGTCTTTAAAGATTCCTTATAGTTGTTTTCTTAATGAAAATCTGTAACATTAGACCTAAACTATAGTTTTGATTTGATATTATAATGATGAAAGTGAGATCATTATACTAACTATTTTCAAACTTCAGTAAATTTTAAAATATCACTCATAGTGATGGAAATCATGTATTTGAACAAATTCCTCATTTAACATTATAATACAACAGTGATAATCAGTAGCTATATCATAAATTTTGCCTTACTATTTGGATAATGAATAGCTCTGCATCATTTTAAAGATTCTCGAAAACACTGTCTAAACAATTTTTATTCACATTACTGTTATATTTTCTTATATACCATTGCTGTCAAAACTAAGTCTGCTTGAAAAAAACAAATATGCCCGGAGTTCTTAATAAATTTTTCAAAAAACGTGACAAATACTTCCTAGAAATGAATAAATAATGGGGAACAAAATAACTAAACGTCGACCTGACGATGCACCCGTGAATATTTTAATGGAAAACATCAAACTACTAAGAAGTAGTATCATTAGTTACCAATAGACTGACTTCCAAAATTGCCTAAACTAAGAATATGTTTATTGAAAACGATTTATATTATTTCTTGGTTATATTATATGTTCTGAAAACATACGTGTTCCTACATGAGTACATGTTCATATGCATAAGACAAATAGATAGATAGATAGATAGATAGATAGATAGATAGATAGATAGATAGATAGATAGATAGATAGATAGATAGATAGATAGATAGATAGATAGATAGATAGATAGATAGATAGATAGATAGATAGATAGATAGATAGATAGATAGATAGATAGATAGATAGATAGATAGATAGATAGATCGTCTTTCTCAGTATAATTGAAGCTATATCGGGAAATATTTTCATCAGTAAAAAATCAACAATTTAACTTAATTCGACTTTATTGATTAATCTTAAATAGTTGCTTTATCACTTTACATTACTTATCCATCCAGTTCTGTGACATATTTAGCTAAATCTATCATTCCAAAGAAACTCTTTTAATCATTTTTGGATGCTTTTTAATTACACGTGATCTCATAAACTAGTTGTCCTTCAATAATACAATATGTGAGACATTACAGTCTTACCTCTGGGCAATACAGTGTGATTATTGCAATGTTATTGATATTTCGTACTAGCTGACAAAAACATATCAGATTAACGTTGAACATCTTTCACTAGTTGATAAAGCTCATTATCAATAATTAACTAAAAAAACTAATGTTTTATTACAATATACACCAACAGTTTTTTATTCATTTGTTCAGTGTTTCACAAGTAATACAATAGTCTTGGAAAGTTCATAGTACTTCATAGAAGATAATTATTGACTTACTTGTCTCGTTTTTATTCTTGAAACAAGTATTACTTAAGATGAATCCATTTGTTATGCTATTTGATTTTGGTTTAATAAATAAATTCTACATAATTTTGTCATTGTGTTCAAACATTAATTCCTTTTCAACAGTAACATTATACACCTATGAACATTCGGTACATAATTCATTGAACAGATAACTGATGACTAGTTTTAACAATCATATCCATATTGTAATTTGGATTTCAATATCCATTTGTTTACGTTTCTAAATCGTAAATCTTTAGATAAACACTTAACTAAGAAATTATAGTTTAATCAATTCCCTTCTCATTGTATATTTCATTTTAGAAACTTTAGAATATTATTAAGTCACAATACTTTACATTAAAATAAGCTTGTTTAGAAAGAGTAAGAATTCACACTGTAATACATTATGGTGTTTTATTTTTGTACAAGACTACTAAAACTTTGTAAAGAATTGAATGAACAGACAGATATTATGGTGTTAGAATACTCTAGGATAAACACTGGTGTAGCTTAAACGTTAGTTAAGTTATATTCCAGGAACTCAAAAAAAAAACCTTTAGTTTTGACACATTATATTTATCTTTTATGACATCATATTAAATGTAGTTCTAGAATTATTGGTAATCAGTAGGAATCATTTGTTTTGACGGTGTTCGGAACTCCTTTGCAAGTCAGATACATGACAAAATCAGGACCTTCAGGATACCTTTATATGAGTGCGAAGAAATTTAACTGTATGTATTTTTTTAAAATTCAATGAATTTACGACATGAAGACAATGCCTACTGTCATTATTGACTAGTTAACGCTTCTCTAGATTATACATGTATGATCTCTATGTTCATAACGATTGTTCAAAACTTTGAAAAGAAGTCTGAAATGTGAGTTCCAATAAACTGAAAATGAACTGGCTACGAACATATGTGGTTGGACGACTGTCAGTCCATATTTTGAATGGACAAAATCTGAAACTGTATACCAAAAGATTTTGACCCAGTGGTCATATAGTTATATTCATTAAAACACATATATTCTGAACGCAATTCAGTATTGAGTTATGTCTGAGTATCTGTTAATTGTTCAAATAATGCTCTCCTGTTTTCCTCAAATCTGTAGATGTCAATCCAGAATAAGTATTATTTTCAAATCATCTCACTTATAAGGACTTAAATATTTTGAAATGGAATAGGATAATGAATGGAATCATTCCTCACAATAACTCGTATTGTTTACCTCATTCATAATAAATATCATGTTCATATTTACTCTAAATAAATACGGATTTGTACTATATTTACAATATTATCTGAAATATTAAAGTAATCAACTATCGTTTACCAACGATATAATTGTATCTAACACTTTTGCAAAAATATCAAATAAGCATTGAATTGATCATTTACTATTTATATTAGCAAGAATGTAATTAATTTTCTAAGTTATACCAGTCAAACTGATTGCATTCACAATAATGTTCATATAACCAACCTATATATATATATATATATATATATATATATATATATATATATATATATATATATACACGTTACATCATGTCATTAATGCTACTAGTGATAAATAACTTGAATGCATTAATCCAAACACGAAGAAAATCAATATTTTCATATTATGACTTTCATTCGTCTTTTTTAATCGTATTTTTTTTAAATCTACATGTTATTAATTTAATTTGTTAACTGTTTTATTTATCACTATTGAAAAGTAACTATTCACTACTACCAACAGTACTAGTACTACTACTACTACTACCATTACTAATACTAATACTACGGTCAATATCAATATTAATATGAACAACAATGTTAAAAATTATTAAGCAATGACCTTTCTTATGTAGATAATTTTCCAAAAATGAATGCTTTAGAATATAATTGTTATGATGATAATTATTTTATTGAAATGAATATATATATCAATAAATGAACTTAAGACAATGGATAATATAGAATGATTGAAATCATTCATATACATGAATATATTCATATTATTACATTGTATTACATATTAAAAATGGATACCTTTATTAGTTAATTAATTAATTTAATGAATCGATTAGTTATTTTATATTGAATAATAATACTAAAATATAATTATTGAAAATTGAGAAGATTGAATATTGAATATTCATGTATATTATTAACTTGTTTGTTGTTGATAAACAGTCATTGTTTATTTGAAATAAGATAGTTTTTATTATATATTTATTCATATATTTTGATTATATGAAATAAGCTGGAAATAAATATGAGCATCTCACTTCCCTTATGATATTACTAATATATAGTTGATTATAACTGGAAATGATTTGACTATTTAAAGTAATAACTGATTGTTATTATTATCATTTTAATGCTGTTATAATAAACTTAGTTTAACTTTTCATTGAACTTCATAGAGCTTTGTAATTTAATGACAATCTTTTATCTTAATTCTGTTACAGTCAGTAACTAAACGTTGTAGAGATATGAATATTATGGTAATATTAGTTATAAATTTCAGTAGTGATTTTGAGATGGTTTGATATAGTTTAAACTGAATTGAGGTTTATTTATCTTGCAATTTGAATCGGTAGATTTAAAAATAAGAAACTTTACAAAAAACCAGCTTAAATAACTAAATGAAATAATTTCTCCCATAAACATGGCATTATGGGTTTTTTTAGAAAAGGAGTGAAGAATCATCCTTTCTTTAGTGATATTTACTTCCATCCTTCGTTAACCACTTCGTTATGTGATAAATCGAACTGCCTTGACCGAATGTTTTGTATACATATATATAGTGCTATTGTATTCTAAAATTAAGTCTATTAGATTCGGAGATAACTACATGGAGTAAATGATTAATTGAGATATATCAGTTATTACAGTAATTTTGTCAAGTAACTGAACTAAAATAATAAAACGTAAGTATTAAAAAAAGAGGAAGACCAAAGAACATATTATGTCGAGAAATGGAGACAGACATGAGAAAAATAGACAAAAATTAGTTAGAACTGGAAATGAAGGTCCAGGACAGAATGGATTGAAGAATGCTGTTCATCAGCCAATGCTCGATTGGGAGTAACAGGCGTAAGTAAATAGTAGTAAGTAAGTATTATTTTCTGACTTTCGATAACTTAAATTCATATTACCAAACAATAAGTATTAGATATGATATACCTCAAAAGCCTTCATTATATGTTAATATAAAAAAAGCATTATGTAATACAGTGTTATTTCATAAACTACAATTGTAAATATTTCTAAAAATCGATTGACATTGTAATGTAAAACATTTTTATAGTAACCAATAAATAGTATAATCAAATTTTATTTTCCCTAAATTTATATAGAAAAAAATATAAAAATTATTTTAATGTCATAAAATAAATTAATGAGAATCATTAATTACATATTCATGTATAATCACATTCATACTTATAAACAATGAACTTACTTTATCTTTATTAATGATAATGTTTTATTGTTAGTAACTATTTGATTTTTAAAATAATATTGTTTTCTTTATTATTACTCCTCATATAAATTTCATAAACCTATTTATAGTATTTGTCATTGTAAATGGTCGCACTAACTGAAGGTCATTATTATTACCTTGTATAAACCATGTCCCATAAAATTGACCAATCATAATGTTGTTCGTTTTTATTTATTTATAAATTTACATGGTTACTCATTTTGGTAAAAGTAAATTATTTATTATTTTACCAAATATTAAGAAAAAAGTAGATATGTGGGGGGGGGTATATTTCATTATTTTACACACACAAAAAAAATTGTCAATAAAATTCATAATTTATGAAAATTAAAGAAAATTATATTCCTTTTTTTAAATAAAACTTTTTTATTGTTATCTAATTATTTAAATCAAGTGTAATCCTCAAATATCGTAATAAAGACATATATAGTGGCAATAATGATAACTCAATTATATGAACGAACAACATTCTTTTCAGTAATTGCTCACCAAGTTCTACATTAATACACCCAAATTAATAATCAATGAAATTGGTCAGATTTAAGGCAGAGAGTGCATCATTAAAATTGTAATATGTAAATCAAGAATTTCAACAGTTGAGATCATGAATCAATTGAAGCTAGATCACTATGGAAATCCTTGAAGCACTGGACGGCTATTTCACCCTATTGTAGGACTCCTCAGCAGTACGCATCCACGATCCCACCTCGCAGGATTCGAACCCAGGAGCTATCAGTCTCTCATGCGGGCGCTAAACCACTAGACCATTGAGCCCGTCGGCATCCAACGGCGTTAATGTCTAACTTCAACTAATCCACGCAATTGAGCGACACACCCACCATTGTCATCAGTGAGTTCCTGCCTCATAACTGACACGGTTGAACTCCACTGGTAACGGCTTCTCACTAGAACTCCTGCGAGGCGGGGTCGTGGATCTGCACTGATGAGAAGTCCCACAGTAGGACGAAACGGCCGTCTAGTGCTTCCAGGTTTTCCATGGTGGTCTAGCTTCAACTGACTCATGATCTCAACTGTTGGAATTACTACAATCTCCACAAAACCCCTTCTGATACAAATCAACAATTATTGTTTGCTATATAAAATCAAATCATTAGTGTTGGGGTTGACTAATATGAAGTGGTAATTTGAATCAGTTTATAAGCGAAATGAAATTATGAGATAAATGATCAGAATAAATATAGTCAACATGGGGTGAGAGAGAGAATAATGAAATAAAAATCAGAAATTACGTAATATGTGGAATAATATGAATTAGGTCAGATATAGTAGATAGGGGTGGATGCTGGATAAATATCTCAAAACGGTTATCAACTGTAATAACAATAACAATGATAAAGATAACAACAATAATAATATTACAATTTTAAATGATGTACTCTCTGCCTTAAATCTGACCAATTTTATCGATTATTAATTTAGATATATGATTGTTGAACTTGAGAAATTACTGAAAAGAATATTGTTCGTTCATATAATTGTGTATTATTGTAAATGGAATTTTTTAGCGAACAATGGTAAGGATAATAATAATATTAGTAATAGTAATAGTGATAGAAAATTCACTATTTGAAAATGAATCAACGAATACAGAAAAGAATCAAGGGATAATCTATTGTGATCAAAATAACAAAACAACTCACTCACATTTAGAGAAGAAATAATTCATATGTTAAACTTTCGGATACTTCAACATTATCAGTTCACTCTATGTATAGTTTAAGAAATGACTATAAGAATTATATGAAAGTAGTTTATGTTGCATTTTTTCAGTTCATCATAGAAAAACAAACCTATAAATCATTATAAATCGAAATAAGATGGTGGTTGGAGGTAGTCAACAGCAACCCCTGGACCTAAGCTTCGTGCTACTTGGCACTCGTCAGCAAGGTACACCTGTTATCTTGAGGGAACTGGTGCTCCCTGATGGACTCGATCCCGTATCAGCCAGCTTCACAGTCAGAGACGTTAACACTGGGCTATCCGGGCGGTGACCGACCTCCTGTATGACTGAGATGTAATCATAATTGATTGACTACTTGGTGGTGATCAATATCATGTGTGTCAAGTCCTTAGTGCATATCAACTACTATTGACCAGTTCCCTCAAGATTACAGGTACACTTTGCTGACGAGTGCCAAGTAGCACGAAATCCGGGTCCGCGGTTTGCTGTTGACTACTTCCAACTACCATGTTATCTCAACATAATGCACGCAGTGCCGAGTCACTTAGACTAATGGCCACATTGAAACTTGGTCGATAGCAATCGATCTGCACTAAGAAGGACTTGACACATATGACATTGATCATCACCCAGTGATCAATCAATTGTGATAAATCGAAGCGATGTTTCATTAGATTTTCTCTCTTTGTTTTTTATCAGATTTAATGTAAATAAAGTAATAGAGAAGTATAGTAACATAATTTATATATCTTTTAATAAAAATGATCATAAATGAATAGTTTGTGAAGAATATTACATAAACACCGAAAATAGTCCAGTGAATTCCATTACTTTCATAAAATACTTTATTATATTTACCCTAATAGAATTTAATGATCTCAAATACAATGAATTAAAAGGTTTTTCAAAATAACTTCCAGTAAAGTGTAATTTCAAAGTACTGAGCATCTATATTAATTTATGGGAGAAAAAGAAACAATTCCAGCTTTTCAAAGCTTTTTAAAGGCATTCTCATAAATATTTGTTATAAATGGTAATTACATTAGTGATGTTTATATCATAAGTATAATCAACTAGTTTATTATTTATTAGACTATTTACAAAAGTTATAACAATCTCAATTATTTTAATTTACAAAATTTATTGAAAAATCTGTAGGACGAAACGGTCGTCCAGTATTTCCAAGTTTTTCATAGTGATCTATTTTCAATTGACTCATGATCTCAACTAATAAAATTACTATAATATCCACAAAAACCTTTTCTGATATTAGAAACTTATGAAGTAGTAATTGCAATGAACTCTGTTATTACATAAATAAATGATATATATATATATATATATATATATAATATTAATAAGAGTTTCTACTTCTAATAACTACTTAAATGACAAACAAATTATACATGGATCAATAGCGTATGAACCAATCGTTGGTCACCGGCTACCATGGGAATGCATCTCCTTACGTTGCTCCATTGCCTTGTGTATCGAACCTTCAAGTCGAAGGCCCCGGCTGTGGCCCCCTAAGGAAAATACCTGCTTCGGTTTGGGCACCCGGGCAGTATCACAGCCCTTACACATATCAAATGAGATTTGTGTGGCACATATGTATTTAGGGTCTCCTTGTACCAATATCTATGTGTTAAAATAATTTTTAAAAAAAACATGGATCTATGGTATAACTGGAGAATATTTGAAAAAATATATTTTGTTTAAAACTTGTTCAAAAAGATAAATAAATAAAATAACTAAAAAAATTATGATAATGATCAAATGTTTTAATCATTCTCAAGAATGTTGTTGATTGATTTATTTATTAAAAACGAATGGTAACAATAATATACATAAATATATTTCACTATAATACGAATAATTGGTATCATTCATTAAGATAAATAATAGAATCTTATTTAAACTTCTTTTATAGAAAGTTTTTTTTTAAAAAACGGTGGAAAAAAATCAATTGTAATAACATTAAATTATCATGTACAGTTGTCAAAGATTCCTCCCACATGTATTTTAACACACGAACTCTATCATTTAGATTGTACTATTTCAACTTTAATGACATAAAGTAAACAAAAGGAATTTATTGAACTTAACAATAATTTTAATAGTTGAGATCATGAGTTCATTGAAGTTAGACCACTATGGAAAACCTAAAAGTACTGAACGGCTGTTTCGTCCTAGCATGGGACTCCTCAACAGTTCACATCTACGATTCCACCCCGTGAAATTCAAACTTATAATCTATTAGACTTGCGCGAGAGCGCTTAACTATTAGACCACCAGGACGAAACGATCATCCAGTGCTTCCAGGTTTTCCATGGTGGTCTAACTTCAATGGACTCATGATCTCAACTATTAATATTACCATAATATCCACAAAAACCCCTTCTGAGATTAACAATACTTCTTATTGTTATTTTATGTAACCAAAAAGAAAAAAGATCTTTTTTCCAATGTAATAATAATAAAACTTACTTCATATAATGTAACTGATATTTGCCTATTTTTAGATATATGTTATATAAGAAATAAGAAAGTTATGTAATTTACATGACTAAGAATAATAATTAAAATTCAAATATAAGTATCATAATATAAGTTTAAAACAATTTACTCCTTGTAGGTAAACATAATATTAACATAAATTTTGATAGGATATGCATAAATCAAAAGAAAAATCCTACTGACTATACATTCACAATTCTCTTTATTTCCATATATATATATATATATATATATATATATATATATATATATATATATATATATAATTACGATTATTATTATTATTATTATTATTATTATTATTACTTGTTCGTCTATACATTTACTTATTTAACTAGAATACTGTAAATTATAGGTGGGATAAATGCGGTGATTTACATGGTTTTAATTTATTAAACTAAGATAATACAAGTTAAATTATTGATGAAATAAACATAAAGATAATAATACAAGTTCATTTATGTTCAAATTAAATTGAATAAATTTTATTTTAATAATAATTAGTTAAAAATAGTTTAGTTTAATGATGAAACATATAAAATGTGTGAAATGTAAATTATCATCATGGAATATACTGCATGCTAATAATAATAATAATAATAAACTATCGAGTTCATTGAAAGGGATCAGTACCTTTAACCAGTTAGACAATTTAAACAGATATATACTCATTTAGTTACAGATTAATTAACAGATTACTTCATTAGATACAACTTAAGTATACTTAATTCTTTCAGATAACTT